ACCCATCCACCATCCACCCACCCACCCATCCATCATCCACCCATCCATTCACCCATCCATCTATCCATCCGTCCATCATCCATCCATCATCCATCTATCTATCCACTCACCCATCCATCGTCCACCCATCCACTCATCCATCCATCATCCATTCACCCATCCATCCATCCATCCATCCATCCATCCACCATCCATCCATCCATCCATCATCCACTCATCCATCCATCATCCACTCATCCACCCATCCACCCATCCACCCATCCACCATCCATCCATCCATCCATCCATTCATCCATCATCCACACACCCACCCATCCATCCATCATCCACCATCCGGACATCTGTTCATCCACTGAACCTTCACTGAGCAACACCTGGTACTGGGATGGGGGATGACCCCAAGGCAGCTCTTGTTTTCAGGGGGTACACAGACCAGAGATGCACACTGTTTTGGTGGCTATGAAGTTTCTATCAGGCCGGTCAAGGGAGGAGACATCACAGACATTCAGGAAGAGGAGGGTTGAACCCCACCCCAACTTAGGACACCACATACCTCAGATCCCAGAGGCTAATCCCAGAAGCCATGGGAAGGGACAGGGTGCCTGAATTCAGAGGCCAGAGGTCCGAGTCCCACCACCAAGCTAGGGGATGATCGCCTTTGCCACCTGGCCAGCCCTGCTCCCTTGCCCATCCCCCAGTTAGTGAGCAGCAAAGGGCCAGCACATGGGGCATGGAAAGAGCTTTTATTGCACAAAATGAAGGGGCTGCAAGCAGGAGGTGGGGAAGGGCCTGGGGCCTGAGCATCCAGCACAGGCACCAGCGGCTCTTGAAGGGATGTCCCCCGGCAGCTGCGCTCTCTCTGCACAGGCCGTCCCTTTCTCGTGAGTGTGTGGCCTCTGCGGGCTGGTCCCCTTAGCCAAGCATCAGTGAGGATCCCTTTCCTCGGGGCTGTGAGAGGCAGAGCTGGTGGGTCTGGGAGCAGAGGGGAGAGGGGTCGGAGGTCCAGGGACAGAGGTGGCAGCAGTGGCAGGTGTTGGAGGGGCATGGGCAGCCAGGCGGGCAATAGGGAGCGGCTTCTTCGGCAGGGCTGGGTGGGCATCTGGCTGGACTCTCCCCGGGAGCATGGATGGGGGTGTGGAGGGAGCCGCCTGCCTGCACCCGGGCTCAGGACCGCTGAAAACACAGGCGGGTGGGAGCGTTAGGCTGCGGTCCCAAGAGGTCCCCTGCCCCTCCCAGCCTGCAGCCCCTCTCGGGTAGCCACCCTGGCACTGCCCACACAGCTCTCCCCCACCACCTGGAGCAGCCTCCCCGCTGCAGTCTCTAAAGCCCTGGTCTGCCTCCACCCTGGAGGTCGGCTACCTGAGGCTGAGCTCGGCGCCCCAGGCCTTGCTCAGGACTCAAGGCCCAGGCAATGCTGCCCGTCACTGCTGGCCTGGCAGCCCCCCAGGCACAGACCTGGGGTTCTAGGGTGGCTGGGGTCCCAGCCGCCCAGAGCAGACAGCAGCCCAGATGGAGCCCCAGGGCAGACCCCTCGGGCCCCTCCCCAGGCTCCTCTGCTCCTGCCTGGCAGAGCCTGCGGCCCCCGGGCCTCCCTCCTCCCCCACACAGGCGGCCTCTGGCTCGGCCCAGACACCATTTGTCAACGTCCTTGCAAGCACGTGGCGCCCAGAAAGCAGGGCGGGCGGGCGGCTTGGCCGGGACCACCCGAGCCTGGAGGTCTGCGGGAAGACCCGTTTAGCGTAGCTCAGCGAAAATTGCTCCCACCTCCAGGCCACTCGACCTCTCATGATGCAGCCCGGCGCCCCGAGCCCCTGGCCGCCACCCTCACCGCTGGCTCGCAGCGGACGCGCCTGTGGTCGGGCCGGCGACGGCACGGCGCCCCTCACGCGTTTGCGGGCGGGCGCTCTTCCTGCCCTCGCGGGCGCCTGGCCCAGCACGTGCCCCCCACTTGGAGCTGGCCCGTGGGTCTCCCGGCCGCAGCTGTGCTCCAGCCCTCGTTCATCACCCACCAGTGACTGGGCCTCTGTAGGCTCGTCTCTAACCCTGGTGATGGCGCAGCCGCCCACAGAGTCGCTGGAGCAGACAGACCTGCCTGGAGAGCACCTGGCAGGTGCCCAATGCGCAGGAGACCAGGCACCGAGGGTCAGGCAGACGCTCCCAAATGACGGGGGGCTGTTGTTCGGGAGGGGGCCTGGGGGTGAAGAGGGCTGGCTGACGGCTGTCCCTCCCCACCCCAGGGTGCAACGATGCTCATCTCGGCTGCCTCGGTGCCCCATGGAGCGGTGGGCCTGTGCCCCCAGGGGCCCCCTGCGCCCCCACCGCCCCTGCTACCAAAGCCCGGGAAGGACAACCTGCGTCTGCAGAAACTTCTGAGAAAGGCAGCCCAGAAAAAAGGGATGGGGAGTGGGCCCTCGGCCCCCCCAGGAGCCTTCCGCACCTCCCTGTCCCCCGTGAGCGAGGCCAGCCACGACCAAGAGACCACAGCTCCGTGCTCCACCGAGGTCCCTCTCATGGCGGCCACCCTGTCCCACACCCCCAATGTCCCCATCACCCGCCGTATGACATCACCCCTGCAGAAGTCCACTTTCTCCCTCAGCCTCACCCAGAACAGGAGCCTGACCACCCACGTCAAGACCCCAGGGCCCCTGCTCATGGCCCCTGCCCCAGAACCCGCCTGGTCCCCCAGTGGCTTCGCCCGCATCTCAGCCCCCGCAGCAGGTGACACCCACATCAGCCAGGTGCACATCCAGCTGGTGCCGTCCCCGGGGGCTCGGACCCCTGAGCCTCCCCAGATGGCCCCCGATGCAGGTTCTGGCGGCCGGTGCCGAGACATAGCCGCTGGCCTTCATGGAGTCCAGCCCTTGATCCCGGTTGCCCACATCCACCCCCTTCCTACTGGAGCCCAGGCTGCCAGGCCCTGGCCTGAGGCACCCCCTGTGCCCAGGACGCCCCCTGGTTTCCAGGCCCTGGGGCCCAGAGAGGCCAGTACCCGAGTCGTGGTGCCCGTAGCCCCCACCTATCGCTCACCAGGGCCCTCGCCATACAGGCCAGCCCTCGGGACCCCCGCGGCTGAGCGCCTGGAGGAGCCCCCCACTGCTGGCCCCGCCGCAGAGGCTAAGCAGGTCTCTAGCCTTCCAGGGGCCTTGTCCCCTGCCTCACCGCCAGGCCCCCGCCCTTGCCCTGTCTCCAAAGATGCCCCCAAGCCCCGGCTCAGCGGCTGGATGCGCCTCAAGAAGCAGCTGATGGAGGAGGCGGAAGAGGCCCCGTTCCTGAGGCTGGAGCAGAGCCCCGAGCGAACGGAGCAGGAGAAGACAACCCCTGCTGACCAGGAGCCCAGGCCCCCCACCAACCTGGCCCCTCAGCCCCCCACCAACCTGGCCCCCCGGCCGCCTGCCTCCCGAGCCTCCAAGCTGTGGGATGCTGTGTTGTACCGCATGTCCGTGGCCGAATCCCACAGCAGCCCCGCAGCGCCCAGGGACAGGGTGTGTACCCTGACCGGCCTCGGCCGCCTGCCCTTTATGTGCCGGCCCCGCTTCAACGCCCGGAAGCTGCAAGAGGTGGCCACCCGGCCCCCTCCCACCATCCACTCCGTCCTGGAGCTGGGCCCCCAGCCCAAGAACTTCAACCGCACAGCGGCCGGCTGGAGGCTCCGGTGAATGGCCGGACGGGGCGGCCCCAGGGCCCAGGCCTGCAGGCGGACAGAGGAGCCACAGCCAGTGAAGAGGGTTGCAGGCCACATGGACTGGGAAGGGCCAGTGAGGACTGAGGGAGCCTCAGGAGGGGCAGGTCGGGTGGACAGGAGCACGAGGACCAGGGATGTGGGACAAGTCTGAGAGCAGGTGGGGCAGGGAGGAGGCAGTTTCCATGTGTGGGAACTGGAGGGAGTGGAGTGGGGGGCTTGCAGCGGGAGGGAGAGTGCCCAAGTCCACTGTGGGCAGGGATTGGGCAGTGCCCAGTGCTTGCTGGGCCTCCTGGGAGGAAGGGAGCCAAGGAGGGAGAGCTGAGCTGAGCCCCTGCACACTCTGGGCGGCCACTCTGGGGTGGGTGGGAGAGGGGCACAGAGGGACTTGGGGACGCCTGCAGCCATAGCTGCTAGAGCAGGACTCAGGAAGGGGGCAGAGTCGGTGGGGGCCAGCTGCCTGCTCATCCCAGGGCACAATGGGTGCTGTACATGGATCCTGGGACCCAGGCCACTAATAAAAGTATGTCACTCCAAAGCACACTGGGTCACTTTTCTGACTATGCACCAGCTGATGGGAAGGGCCGTGGAAACCAGAGAGGCCCCCAATGGGACAGGAGAGCAAGACCAAGGTCCTGGCCCCTTTCAGACCTTCAGCCCACCACCAGGTGGGCTCTGAACTCCCAGCTCTGTCTCAACATCCCACTGACTTCCTCCAACACCAGCCCTGTAGGGGTCCTGGGCAACCTCACCTGCCCGAGGAGCCCGACTGGGACCTTGTGGCCCCTTCCTAGGAGGGAGGTGTGACCCTCCCCCCCCTCAGAGGTGGCTGACCAGGCTGAGGCTGCAGAAGAAATGGGGTTTGGTGTGAGATGGGGGGGACCCAGTGGAGCTAGGGTCTGGCCAGCTCTGAGGCTGGGCACTGGGCCTGCACAGGCCCCTTTGCAGCCTGTAACATGGACAAGCAGGCCTGTCTACGCCACCACGCTCCCGGGGCAGCCCCTTTCACACTCGACACAACCTGCTCTGGCGGCTGCGCAGGACTCACCAGAGGGAAGGCTCAGGGCGCCGAGCCCTCATCCATCAGCACCTTCTCGTACTTCCCATGGCCGGTGGCCACAAACTTGTACCTCTTCCCAGATGGGGTGCTCTGTTGGGGAAGGAGACCGACGGCAAAGGTGAACATGGCCGAAGGGAGACGACGTTGCCTCCAGGAAGCCCTCCCGGGTGCACTGAGAATGGTTCCTCTTTGTTCTACCAGCATCAGCTCCAGTTAGACTCTACCTTAATTGTCGACGATGTCTTGGAGCCTCCTTTCTGCTCCCAGAGGCTCTTCTTGCTCATGTCTCCAGCTACAATATCCTGGGGGCAGAAGGGGGACACGGCACAGCTGCAGAGAGGGGACGGGGCGCTCGAAGCCTGGCCAGGGGCCGGGGCCTGCCTACCTGCCTGCTTGTATGAGAGCCCAGGGAGAGGCAGGGAAGGGCAGGCTGAACCTCCCACCTTCACCTGCACGCTGCCAGGCAACTTTCCCCACACAGCCTTCCACACTCAGGGCCAGCCTGGTGAACCCCAGCTCCCCTGGACGTCCCAGGACTCCGTCCACGATGTAGCCTAGACGGTCTCACACTTGCCTCACCCGGGAGCCCCGCCTTGCCATAGGACGGGTCCTACCTTGCAGGAGGGGCTCCTGGCAGCAGACTGAGCCTGCACCTCTCCCGTCTCCCACCGGCTCTTGGTGCTCGCCACGGCCATGCTGGGCAGCTCGATGGAGGGCTGCCGAACTAGTTTGGGGTTCCGGCCAGCAGTCTACAGAGGAGACAGATGCCAAGACCACTTCAGTGGGGAGTCCCATGGGGCCCGTCAGAGAGGCCATTAGAGACCTTCTAGCACACAGAGGACATCCTCCATCTCTGCATTTCCCCAGCAGTGCGTTCCCCACGCAGGCAGGAGCAAGGCGCTCCGAAAAGATGTGCGTTCCTCCATCGGTTACTTATGAAACACCCCGGTTCTGGTGACGTGGGACACGAGACAGATGTGGGGCTGTCCTCGTGCTGCTCATGTCATAGGGCTGGAGGAGCATGGGGTGGATGGAGAGTTGTTTGTTGGATGGAGGGGTGTTGGTTGGATGGAATGGTGTTGATTGGGTGGAGGGTTGTTTATTGGATAGAGGGGTGTTGGTTAGATGAAGGGGCGTTNGGCCAGCCTGGTGAACCCCAGCTCCCCTGGACGTCCCAGGACTCCGTCCACGATGTAGCCTAGACGGTCTCACACTTGCCTCACCCGGGAGCCCCGCCTTGCCATAGGACGGGTCCTACCTTGCAGGAGGGGCTCCTGGCAGCAGACTGAGCCTGCACCTCTCCCGTCTCCCACCGGCTCTTGGTGCTCGCCACGGCCATGCTGGGCAGCTCGATGGAGGGCTGCCGAACTAGTTTGGGGTTCCGGCCAGCAGTCTACAGAGGAGACAGATGCCAAGACCACTTCAGTGGGGAGTCCCATGGGGCCCGTCAGAGAGGCCATTAGAGACCTTCTAGCACACAGAGGACATCCTCCATCTCTGCATTTCCCCAGCAGTGCGTTCCCCACGCAGGCAGGAGCAAGGCGCTCCGAAAAGATGTGCGTTCCTCCATCGGTTACTTATGAAACACCCCGGTTCTGGTGACGTGGGACACGAGACAGATGTGGGGCTGTCCTCGTGCTGCTCATGTCATAGGGCTGGAGGAGCATGGGGTGGATGGAGAGTTGTTTGTTGGATGGAGGGGTGTTGGTTGGATGGAATGGTGTTGATTGGGTGGAGGGTTGTTTATTGGATAGAGGGGTGTTGGTTAGATGAAGGGGCGTTGGTTGGATGGAGGGCTATTGATTGGATGGAAGAGTGTTGGTTGGATGGAAGGGTGTTGGTTGAATGGAAGGGTGTCGGTTGGATGAAGGGATATTGGTTGGATGGAGGGGTATTGGTTGGATGGAAGGGTGTTGGTTGGATGAAGGGGTGTTTGTTGGATGGAGGGGCGTTGGTTGGATGGAGGGGTATTGGTTGGATGGAGGGGTGTTAGCTGGATGAAGGGGTATTGGTTGGATGGAGGAGTGTTGATTGGATGGAAGAGTGTTGGTTGGATGGAGGGGTGTATGTTGGATGGAGGGGTGTTGGTTGGATGGAAGAGTGTTGGTTGGATGGAGGGGTGTTTGTTGGATGGAGGGGTGTTGGTTGGATGGAATGGTGTTGATTGGGTGGAGGGTTGTTTATTGGATAGAGGGGTGTTGGTTAGATGAAGGGGCGTTGGTTGGATGGAGGGCTATTGATTGGATGGAAGAGTGTTGGTTGGATGGAAGGGTGTTGGTTGAATGGAAGGGTGTCGGTTGGATGAAGGGATATTGGTTGGATGGAGGGGTATTGGTTGGATGGAAGGGTGTTGGTTGGATGAAGGGGTGTTTGTTGGATGGAGGGGCGTTGGTTGGATGGAGGGGTATTGGTTGGATGGAGGGGTGTTAGCTGGATGAAGGGGTATTGGTTGGATGGAGGAGTGTTGATTGGATGGAAGAGTGTTGGTTGGATGGAGGGGTGTTTGTTGGATGGAGGGGTGTTGGTTGGATGGAATGGTGTTGATTGGGTGGAGGGTTGTTTATTGGATAGAGGGGTGTTGGTTAGATGAAGGGGCGTTGGTTGGATGGAGGGCTATTGATTGGATGGAAGAGTGTTGGTTGGATGGAAGGGTGTTGGTTGAATGGAAGGGTGTCGGTTGGATGAAGGGATATTGGTTGGATGGAGGGGTATTGGTTGGATGGAAGGGTGTTGGTTGGATGAAGGGGTGTTTGTTGGATGGAGGGGCGTTGGTTGGATGGAGGGGTATTGGTTGGATGGAGGGGTGTTAGCTGGATGAAGGGGTATTGGTTGGATGGAGGAGTGTTGATTGGATGGAAGAGTGTTGGTTGGATGGAGGGGTGTATGTTGGATGGAGGGGTGTTGGTTGGAAGGAGAGCTGTTGGATGGAGGGGTGCTGTTTGAAAGGAGGACTGTTGGTTGGATGGAGGGGTGTTGGTTGGAAGGAGAGCTGTTGGATGGAGGGGTGCTGTTTGAAAGGAGGACTGTTGGTTGGATGGAGGCCTGTCGGTTGGATGGAGGGTTGTTGGTTGAAAGAGGGAACAGATGCATGAATAGAGGAGAGCCCCCAAAGAACGGGGGGCCCGAGCGTACCTCAATGGCCTGGGTGTACTGTTCCAACCTCTCATCGATCTTGGAGATGGGCAGAGCTGGCTGGGACCTCTTCACACTGTTACTGGAGGGTAGGAGAAGGGTCACACCCCATGCACCCTCATTAGGCTTCTACACCCCTCCCTGAGCCCCAGGAGAGCTCTCTCAGGCCCCGGGCCTCCACCCCTCTCTCCACCTCTCTTGGAGACCTTGAGTCCTGGCCTGGAGAGGAGCCAGACATACCTCTTCTTGATGGAGCGGTTCAGGGACTCGGTTCTATCCATGAGCTGTGTGGGGCAGACAGAGACGTGAGCCTTGGGAGCCAAGCAAGGCCCACACTCCCCCCCTGCCCTGGTGCTGCTCCCCTTGGGTGCTGGGTGTGGGGAGGGAAGGCGGGGCAGAGGGCCAGGGGAATGGCAGGGAAAGAGCAGGAGTGCTCCCTGACCCGGGGCTGAGGGGGCTGCTTCTGGGGTGAGGAGAGAAGAAAGACAGCAGGCTTTGGGGCTCGACCTACTTTGATGCTGGGGCTCAAGGGGGGTGAGCTTGGTTCAGTGGTCTCCTCCAAGGCCAAGGGACTAGGTGTCCTGGGCTGCTGACATCTCTGGTGCTAGGAATGAAACATCTGAGCTTAGGGACCTAGAGAACCACCCCCTTTTCACCCCTCCTGCCCCACCTGGGACCTGCTGGAGCAATTCTCTCCCTGCCTGGGCCTCAGGTCCTGCCCAGCCCTGACGTGCTTTGGTTCTGGAATTCTCTGCAGCAGGGCTGACCATGCAGAGTCCTCAAGCCACACAACCCTCTGAAAATGTGGGGGCTACACACTGCCCACTGTCTCTGGGCGGGTCCCAGCAGGCCCACCGAGGGAGCAGGCCTCAGAAACAGATGCAGCCGGGACCCTGAGGGACACCGTCATCACCTCCTCAGGCTCCTCGGCCCCCGTCAGGCCCGGGCTGGCCCGGCCGGTCTCCTCCTGGGGCTCCGAGCCGGGCTGCAGATGCAACTCCTCCAGGCAGACTCCGGCGGGGCTCACAGGGTCACCATCCTGGTTCCCACAGGGCCTGTGGGAGGAAGGGGGACGCAGTCTGACCAGGGGTCATTTGGTTGCTTGGTTCAAGTCCCTTCCTCAGTTTCCCCATCTATAAGACGAGATGGTCAGACCAGTGGAGTGCCGAGGTGCCCTGAGACCCAGCCCCTCTGGGGAAGCGGGGTCAAGGACCTACGAGCCAGCCCCTCTCCCTGGGGCCCCTTGGGGAGCAGTGCCCATGCCCCAGACCCACTGAGGGCCACCCATGTGCTGAGGCTGGACCCCGCCTCCCGGCTGCCTGGACAGGCCCCTGCCGGTGTCCTGCTTGTCCCTGTCCACCCCACAGCCTAGGCTGCCCCGCTCCATGTGTGGCCAGTGGGCCTCAGGGAAAAGGCTGTTGTGTGGGGGTGAGGTGGGGTCTGTGGGTGGTCTGGGGGTTGGTCAGCTGGCGGCCAGGCAAGAGCATGTCCCCGCTAGGATGCACCCCTGAGGAGAGGGGCTGGTTGAGCTGTCCCCGGGGAGGGAGGCCAGCCCGCTGGCAGCCGGCCGCTTTGCAGTTGAGTGGGACTGGACCTGGAGAAGGTGGGAAATTCTCGACTTTTCCATGATTTCAGGCCCCTTGGTGTTCCTGCCAACCAAGACCCAGACCCACCGCCCAGGGTGGGCCGGGGTCCAGCCACCGGCAGGCACACAGAGGGCCCATTCAGTGCGGTGTGGCCGCCGTGCCTGCGCGGGGCCAGGCAGGTGTGGGGGTGCAGGGAGGAGAGCCCTGGGTTCAACAGAAGAGCCAAAGCGCCCCCTGCTGCTGGGAATGGTGGCCTGCCTGCCGCTGGCCGGGGAGGAAGGCGCAGGGCAGGCCACCCTGCAGACCCCAGCCCCGCTTCAGAAATGCAGAGCGTGCCCCAACTCGCAGAGGCAGAGGGGGGAAACGGGGCCTGGAGGGGTTGCTGGGCAGAAGGCCAAGCCAGGACCAGGGCCCCAGCTCGGCAGGCGGCTTGCAGGATGGAGAAGAGCTAGCTGAGCCCCGGGAGGGGTCTCAGCTACAGCTCAAGGCTGCCTGGAGGGGCCCCGAGGTGGCCCAGAGTGGGGAGAGACGGGGGTCTGCTCGCGCTCAAGGCAAAGGGAGACCCTGCCCCCCAGTTGGAGCTCCTAAGCAGAACTGGGACCCTGAGTACATGGGGGGGGCCTTGAGCATGGCCTGCAGAGTCCAGAGAGGGGCTCAGACCCCTGAAGTTGGGTGAGGGGCACAAGGCCCTGGGAGCAGCCCCCAGCCCTGGGCCCAGGGGCGCTTTGGCCCCCACCCCCACCCGCCCCGGTTCAGACCAGCAAACACGTCTGCACATCTGGAAAGCTTGTCCCCCAGGCCTCCTCGCGGGCCCGCACATCTGGAAATACCTGCTCCCCTCCGTGGGAATGGAGGCCAGCCAGCCCCCAGGGAGGAAGGGGCGGCGCGGGGGCCAGGGCCTCCATTACGTAAGTGGGCTGCAGATGTGCGCTGATGTGGCAACACCATGGCCGCAGCTGGTCTGGATGGGGCCCAGGGCCCTGGGGAGCCCAGGAATGAGATTTCCTCACCGCCGCTCCCGCAGCCCCTCGCCGCCGCCTCGCCGTCTCGCTCTCTTCCTCCCTTTCCCCCTTTCCCCCCTCGCAGCCGTGGGGCCAACTCGGGGGGCTGGCTGGGAAGGGGAGCGGAGGCTATTGCTCAGGCATGTGTGGGGGGCTTGCAGAGCCCCTGCCTGGAGGCCCCTCTCCCGGCGTTAACCCCTACTTGCCTGTCGCCCTCCTGCTCCCTCTCCGGGCCCTGTCCCCAAAGGGGCTGCTGCAGCTCTGGCTTCTGGGACCAGTCCCCGAAACCCTCGTCCTCCTCTGGCTCCGGGGCCTCCGAGGCCGTCAGGCTGATGGAGAGAAGGGCACAGGGCTCGAGCGGGGCCAGGGCGCAGGACAGGGCACCCCCACCCGCCTCCTCCCTCTCGGACCCTGTGCCACGGAGGCTCCGCACAGCAGGGCCAGGTCTTCCCCTTGTCAGAGCTCCAGAGGGCAGGATGTGTCCCCACATCGCCTGGAGGTGCCTGAGGCCAAGGCTGCACCTCACCCCATTAAGGGAGGGTTCCCCAACACAGGGTGTCTCTACCCATGAGATTACGGTTTCCTAAAAGTTGGGCTGTGTCTCCCTCATTGGTGTAGGGCTCCCTGAGAGCTGGGCTGTGCCTCCCCCCTCAGTCTAGGGCTCCCTGAGAGCTGGGCTGTGTCCCCCCATCAGTCTAGGGGTCCCTCAGAGCTGGGCTGTGTCTCCCCACTCAATCTAGGGCTCCCTGAGAGCTGGGTTGTGCCTCCCCCCTCAGTCTAGGGCTCCCTCAGAGCTGGGCTGTGTCTCCCCCCTTGGTCTAGGGCTCCCTGAGAGCTGGGCTGTGTCTCCCCC